ATCATGTCGACCAAGACCATCCATGGTAACTCACAATTCCAGAAGGCCAAATCTAAACATTGGACATGGGAGTCTCCCGGTGGACGGTTCCACAATGAAATTGACCACATCATATTCAATTTACGGTTTTGCCTGACCGATGTCGCTGTTGTCCCAAAATTTCAAACGGGATCGGACCACTGTCTCCGTGCAAAATTCTACTTCACAGAGCAGGGAGAAAGGGCTGCAAAGTTAAAGAAGAGAACTCCCAGAATGACCACCAACTAGGAGCTCTTTGGCACTATTGCAGCAACATGGGAAGATGCCGTTGTTGAAAACACTGATGAGGAATATGATCGACTGGTTCATTACTCCCATGATTGTGCAAGGAATGCCAAGAGAGAGATAGACACAAAAACTGCCTGTCTTTGAAAACTCTTGAGCTTATTCGCCAATGTGGCTTGGCCCAAGCCTCAGGCAACTGCAAGTGAATGTCCAAGCTCGAAAAGCAGTGCAGAGAAGTGATAAAGGAAGACCTCAAAGAGAGAAGAGCAGCAGTGCTGGTAGATGTGGCAGAAGCCAAGAAAAGCATTTGCAATGCCCACAGTTTTTAAATAATGAATTAAAGTTTTATTTATATTTAATTTGCTATGTCTTTCAGGTGATTTTTTTCACAACCCGTGCCCCAAAACAGAACTGAAATAATTTATTTTGTATTGTTATGAATAATCCACTGAAAATGCTCCAAAAAACTTTCCTTAGAGGAAAGAGTGTGAAGATTGTTGTATTTCACCCAGGTACCATTAAGCCCTTCTATAAGAGATTACTAATATGTTGTTAAGGGTTTGTGTACATATACATATATGTGTGTATATATATATGTACATATATATGTACATATACACACATTTATATAATATATGTATATATATATATACATGGAGCTGGAGTAATAGCACAGTGGGTAGGGCGTTTGCCTTGCACAAAGCCGACCAGGCTGACCCAAGTTCGATTCCTCCCTCTCTGAGAGCCTGGCAAGCTACCAAGAGTATCTCGCCTGCACAGCAAAGCCTGGCAAGCTACCTGTGATGCCAAACACAGTAACAACAATTTTCACAATGGAGACGTTACTGGGCCTGCTTGAGCAAATTGATGAACACACAGTGTTACAGTGCTCTGTGTGTGTGTGTATAAAATTTTCCTCTAAGATTGGTTGGGTACCTTCTGCTACTCTTGGAGTATGAGTGATGTGAAGTATGAGATGTCCAAGGATAGTTTTACTCCTGGGTGAGGCTTGGCCTGAGCGTGTGGACAGTGGCCATGAGCATGGCAACAGTTGAATTCTGAAGGTTTTCGGCTCACCTGCCCTGCCTTCTGGGAGCCCTGAATAACAGAGTCTGGTGCGGGGTCTGGCAGCATGGCTATGGCAGTGCCATGTTATGCTCTTTTGAGAGAGAGGGACAATGAGTCTCTGGACCGTGGCTACTGATGAGATTATCTGGTGCCAGTCAGAGGTGGCTTGTGGGTGTGACTGCCGAGTTGCTGGAAACGTGGGGGGACATGGACGGAGGTTATCCATTCCTGGTTCCGTTGAACTGGGTTTTCTAATGCAGATACATTAGCACTATAATGTTTTCTAACATAAAAACAACATTCACTTTATAGGATAAAGCGTATTTTTATGACTTTACAAGGTCTACTTGAATTTTCTTTTTTTTATAATTCTCCTCTCTTACTAAACTGTATAGTTGTAAAAATTGATCTATCTTGTTAATTTTAGAATGTATTTGCATAGACTAATTTATATTATTAGTTTTAAAAATGAACATACCTATAAAAAGAGAATTACAGTTTTTGGAAAAATGTTTTATCAACTTACTGATTTATAATTAAGTTTTCAGAAGTTTAGCTTTATTCATCTATATGTATAAGTAAGAAAGAAAATGAAATTAAAGGGGCTGGAGCAGAGAACAGTGGATAGGATATTTGCCTTGCATGCAGTTGACCCTGGCTCGATCCTCGGCAATCCATATGGTTCTCAAGCACCACCAAGAGCAAACCCTAAATATGTCTGGGTGTGGCCCAAAAACATAAAAATATCAACTATGAATCTGATTGAAAGAATTACTGTGAGGATAAGGTATCATATGAAATTTAAAATTTCTAGATGACGTATTTATAATTTACTCACTCCAGATGCTGAGAGATTGCTTTTGTAAACAACAAACTTGTTTTTTGAGGGGCCACACCAGACAGTGCTCAGGCATCACTCCTGATGGTACTTGAGGGACGTTTTACAACATTGGGGACTGAGCCCACATCTGTGCAATGCAAGACCATCTTCATGCCCTTTCATGGGGGGGAACCCTAGTAGCTATGCTGCCAGGACTGCTGCGGCATCGACAGACAGTACTGGCCCCAGCATTTGAATCTGAGAACTGGGACCTGCCCTGTATGCATCTTAATTCATTGAAGCTCTCCACATACATTTCAATTTTCCTGCCTCTCCATTTGCATGCAAATTCTGGACATCTATTAAGACCAGACTCTACTGGAGCTTAAGCACCTGCTATCATAGGCTAAAATATACCTGTCACTGTCACTGTCACTGTCCTCCCGTTATTCATCAATTTGCTCGAGCAGGCACCAGTAATATCTCCATTGTGAAACTTTTTACTGTTTTTGGCATATCGAATACATCACGGGTATCTTGCCAGGCTGTGCCCTGTTGGCGGAATACTCTCGGTAGCTTGCCGGGCTCTCCAAGCGGGGCAGAGGAATCGAACCCAGATCAGCAGCGTGCAAGGAAAACGCCCTACCCGCTATGCTATCGCATTTGCCCTACTGCGGAGATTTTTCTGGATCTGGTGAGTAGCTGCTGTGGTAAACAGTATTTATAAAAAGTTCACAGTTTGGTAGTCTGAGCAATGAGTAGTACCAAGTGCTATTCATATTGCTTCCTGCCACCCAGATTACAACAGGAAAGGTACTAAAATAATGTGTAGCAGGATGGAAAGGTAGTACAGGGATTAAGGCCTGCATGTATCTTGCATGTGGGAGACCCTGTTTAGAGTCCCTGGTACCACATATGGTCCCCTAAACATAGAACCAGGAGTAAGCCCTGAGCACAGAGGTGTGACCCCCAAAACAACAACAACAAAAAGGGAATAATGTGTAGCAAAGATCTCTGTAAGCAGGGCTTTAGACCTTGTTTACTTTGACTTTAAATAACCTGGGGAAATGAGCACAGTGACCCCTGTAGGGCTCTAAATCTGCCTTAATTCAATTCCATGCCACTAAGATGACCGTGTTCGAGACTGTTTCAATCTTTGACTCTTGGCACTCCGAATGCATAATCTGCTCATCCTGGTTTCTTTATAATCTTGTCTGATTTACTCTTATGTGCTGCCAAATTTTGCATGTTTACCCAGGGTATAACTGTATTTAACAACTAGAACCCTGTGGACTCCAAGCAACCAACAGTGCTGGTCATGGACAAGCAGCAGGGTATAAAGGCAGAGTACACTGATGGAACATCAACCCTGTGAGTGCAGCACAATGGACTCTGGGGAACAAAACCCCCATTTCTCTTCTCTAACATTTTGGCGTTATACGCACAAATAGAAACTTATATAAATTTGTTAGACACAGTTTTGTACACATGTGCAGTTCTTTTTTTTAGTGTGTGTGTGTGTGTGTGTGTGTGTGTGTGTGTGTGAGAGTGTGTGTGCTGGAGAGAAAGCAGCAGATTGTAAGGTCCTGTGTAACCCCGAGGGAAATTCCAGCGCTAAACTCTGCTAATTAGTAACTCTTCCTTATCTGCCTCCCCCAGTAGAGCCCTGAGGTGTAAATCCTCCCTCCACTGTTGACTCTTCCTTATCTGCCTATCCACTAGTAACTCTTCCCTTACCCACCTCCACCGGAATGCAGGTGTCCTGAGCTGTAAATCACCGGGAGCTGGTTAGACATAGAAGATAACCAGATGTCTGAGTTATGAGATATCTGCTAGCCACAATGCCCATGTACGTAAATGTTGGTCTCTGAATCTATAGGCTAAGGAGTGATGTACTTTTAAATGGATTGGTTAAGAAAGTATATGTTGTTACGAATCAATTGGCCATGAAATGCGCGGGCTCTGCTGGAACAGCCAGTGAAGGCCTATATAAGATCTCCTTTGAAGAAGCTCGAGGTCTTGCCCAACCTGCCTGACCTGCGTGTCTGGTAGGTGGCTTGACCCGGGCTAGCCAGTCTTACAATAAACGTTGCTTGCTGTTTGCAGTCTCTGGAATCTCTTTGTCGTTAAAGGGAGATCACAATCCGTGTCCTAACACAGATAGGGCACTTGCCTTGTACGTGGCTAACCTAGTTCATATGGTCCCCCAAACATAAACAGGAATAACTTCTGAGTGCAAATCCATATCCAAAAACAAACAAAATGAAATTTTTATTCAAAACTCTTATATCAGGATTCAAGGTGCTTGGGCTCAAGCATAAGAGACTTGGACTTGTGGGAGCAACAGCTTCTGTGTCAGCCTGGACAAAAAAAATGAGCCCTGGCTTGCTTAGTTTCAATAGTGAACCGTGTGATTTTTTGGTTTGTTTTGTTTTTTTAAATAAATAGATCCCATTTAGCAGGCCTTTTTAAATGTAAAAAGCCTTTGTTAGATCTGGAAGTGTGTAAGAGCTAAACTTCAAGCCTTTCAATGTATTTAAAACGTATTTTTACAATGTGTTTTACAAAAAAGAGGCAAGATGGAAAATGCATGGAGGTTATCAATGAAAAAGAATGTTGTAATGGTATTTGTTGCTGTTTGGTGATGAGAGTTCATTACATTATAGACTTACTTTGTGTAAGTTAAAACTCTGGCTGCATCAGTGGCATTCATCCACATGACTGATACTGGTCTGCAGGTGTGGACAGGTTGAAAACCAGTGGTCTACTGCCTTGGTCATAACCGTCGGTCAGATGTGCATGATAGGGTTCATTCACAGATAAAAGGGCTGAAGAACAAACACTCTACAACTTCAATAGGGACTTTTTTCCCAAACCAAAAAAAAAAAACCTTTATTACTGGATATTTTTACCCTTTTCTCATATTGGTTACTTTACTTTTATCCTCCTTAAACTGGTTTGATGTTTCAAACTGATAATCTTCTGGTACCAATCAACCCAGAGGCCTGGATGAAATATAGCTGATACATCTTGAATATAATACTTTCTGTAAGTCAATGTGCTTTTTAACCTCTCAGATTTATGTGGTTTTTACAAACAATATGTTTATCTTGGAAAAGTAATGTTTGATATTAAAGGTCAGTCTAAAAATATTTTTTAAATACACATGACTTTTATAATTACCATATAAATTATCAAGAGTCATTATACATTGTCAGGAAGAGCTCTGAATTACTTTGAAATCTCCAGTGTTATAAAAATCAGAATCACACTTAAAAGGTTCCTTAGAAAGAGTCACATAAATATTCCCGTTGTCCACTGTCACTGTGTGAATCCTTTGCTTTACTCCTTTGGAGCACCACTTGGGTTTTGCTGATGGGTCTTTAGGGTTTATAGACTGATAAAGTCCTTCTCCTGTTTCCAAAGTGATTTTGTATTTATGCCAGGGGCAAACGATACATGACCGTCCATCAAAATCCTGGAAAAGAAAATAGTTTAAGAATCTGACATTTTTTGACATTCAGGATAAGAGAGAACAGAATCGCTTGCGGGAGGTGGGGGCGAGGGTGTGTGTGTGGGGGTGGGGGGGACAGTTTAAAGATCAGGCAGCTTCTTTGTTTCTTCCTGTTTGCAAATTACTTAGCCTTGGGTAGAAACTAATGTGAGCAGTCATCAGTCCTTTTGCAGGTGATTAAGAAAGCCAACATGTTAGCACTCTATTGAAGACACCTAGCTTGGGTAACCAGAAGCATGGGACTACAGCTGCATGGTTATCTCAGAGATGTTCAAGTGCTTCCCTTGATAGAAAGGAGGGAAGGTCTTCAGGTGTCCAAGGGAATGTCTTCTAGTAAGTAAGTATTAGTAAGACATTCATGGGAGGTTATGAAAGATGCGAGTAAATGTGTTAAGACCAACAGATAATCCAAAGTAGTCCGTTCCCCTCTCTTGGCTTTCTTTTTTTTTTTAATTTTATTATTTTATTATTTTTTATTATTAGTGAAACACCATGAGGTACAGTTGTAGATTTACAAATTTACAAAATTTTGTGCTTGGATTTCGGTTATACCATGATCAAATACCCATCCCTCCACCAGTGCCCATTTTCCACCACCAGGATAATATCCCTCCCCCCATCCCCCCCATCCCCCCCATCCCCCCCTGCCACTGTGGCAGGGCATTCCCTTTTGTTCTCTCTCTCCTTTTGGGTGTTGTGATCAGCAAAAGAGGCATTGAGTGGCAAACACGTTCAGTCCAGTCTACTTTCAACCTGCATCTCCCCTCCTGGGAGGATCCTCCAAACACCCTCCATTTGGTGCTCCCTTCTCTATCTGAACTGTCCTTTCCCCTAGAATACCCGGCTGGCCTCTAAGCTATGGAGTAATCCTCCTGGTGTTGATCTCAGCTATTCTTGGGTATTAATCTCATATTTTGTTACTTTATATCCCCCAGATGAATGCAATCTTTCTATGTCTATCCCTCTCTTTCTGACTCATTTCGCTTAGCATGATACTTTCCATATTGTACCACTTGTATGCAAAGTTCATGACTTCATCTTTTCTAAGAGCTACATAGTACTCCATTGTGTAGATGTACCAAAGTTTCTTTAACCAGTCATCTGTTCTTGGGCACTCAGGTCTCTTCCAGTTTTAATTGCAGAATTTCTGTCTTTAAAGAGGAAGAGGCTTTGTTTAAATGCAGATCTTGTTTAAATTCAGTGGGCTTAGGGTGAGGCCCAGGATTTTACATCTCTAAGCAGTTCCCTGTGACAGTGTTGCAGGACAATGACTCGCTCTGGGCAGCAAGGTCTTACTGAGGGAGCATGGTCTGAATCTGAGGGTCAGTCTCCCATGAGTATGATTATGTACCAGGTGATGATTACAATTTTTTTTGAGTCACACCTGGCGATGCACAGGGGTTACTCCTGGCTTATGTACCCAGGAATTACTCCTGGAGGTGCTCGGGGGACCATATGGGATGCGGGGAATCGAACCCGGGTCAGCTGCTTGCAAGGCAAACACGCTACCCTCTGTGCTACCGCTCCAACCCCTGATGATTACATTTTTCTCTCTAAAAACAGCATGAAGGAATTCTGATCTTGTGATCCCACACAACTTCTATAGAGACCTTTAAATTCATAATTCATATTAACAGTCATGACTTAAACATATGTATATTCCTTGACAAATGGAAAGGGTGGAACAAGGCAGACACCACATTTAGACAAAGTGAAACCCAGAATTCAAGCTTGCATTGTCAACCAGATGGAGGGAAAGACTAATCAGTTTCAAAAATCAGAAAACAAATTAGACTGGTAAGTTTTGGAATATAAGAAAGCAAGTTAATCTTGTTGCTTTCTAGTTAAGCCTTCATTGTGTTCTTTCTTTCACAAAAAATATATATATTTAGGGGCTGGAGCGATAGCACAGCAGGTAGGGCGTTTGCCTTGCACGCGGCCGACCCGGGTTCGATTCCCAGCATCCCATATGGTCCCCTGAGCACTACCAGGATTAATTCCTGAGTGCATGAGCCAGGAGTAACCCCTGTGCAAAGCCGGGTGTGACCCAAAAAGCAAATAAATAAATAAATAATTAAATTAAAAGAAAATTAATTTAAAATATATATTTATTTATAACTACTATAAAAGTAATGTGATAGGGGCCAGAGCAATATTACAGCGGGTAGGGCATTTGCCTTGCACGTGACTGACCCAGGTTTGATGCCGGGCATCCCATATGGTCCCCCAAGCACCGCCAGGAATAATTCCTGAGTGCAGAGCCAGGAGTAACCCCTGAGCATCGCCAGGTGTGACCCATAAAGCAAAAATAAATAAATAAAAGTAATGTGGTAAAAATTCATACCATGCATAAGTGCAAAAAAGTAAAAACCGATGTCTTACTGAAAATAGAATTTTATCAGATCTAATATTACATGAACACTCAAAAATATATTGTATATATTTCTCCATACAAAAATATAGATCTGCTACATTAGTTTAGAGGCTATATAGTATTCCTTAGAGTGGCTGTTTATAATTTAAACTATTTCTTATTGTTAAAACATTTTAGTTATATATGTGAAAGATATCATCGAATAAAGTCAAATAATTAATTTAAAAACACACTTAGGTTGTCTACAATTTTGGGGCTGATTTTTTTGTTTCCTATTTTTGGGCCACACCTGGTAGTGCTCAGGGATCTCTCCTGGCAGGATTTGGGGTAACATATGGGGAATATGCATTTCTCCTGTTTGAGAATGGTTTTTCTTTTTTCTTTTTTTTTTCTTCCATTTTGTTTTTGGGCCATACCTGGTGCCAGTGATCCTGGTTCTGCACTCAGGAATTACTCCTGGCAGTCCACAAGGGACCATATGGGATCACATGGGGTGCTGGAGACCGAACTTGGGTGGGCCGCAGGCACGGTAAGCACCCCGCTCACTGTACTATCTCTCCAGCCCTATCAAAACGGTTTCTTTCTATAAAAATATTGGGAATTCTACAACTTTAGCAATTCGGCTCAAAGTATTATAATATGGTTCAGAACCAAACATGATTTTTGAATACAAAATAAGATATTCACAGAAACAAGTACATTTGTTGAGAATAGATTTGATTTTACATACCTCTATCTCTCCCAAGTGCAAAGGTCCTCCTGAGTCTGAAAGGAAATTGAATATTACATTTAGTCACTGAAAAACTCAGGTTTGTGATTAGTGAACAAATACATGTGGTTTAGAAGAGTGAACAAATATTCAGGGTTTATCTGATATCTTCATTTCAAAAAAGATAAAAGAAAAGCTTACGGTAGCAGCGAATATCCATAGCATGGTATTCTCCTTTGTGGTAGAAAATAACCACTTCTCTATCATGAACAACAGCTGTCATTCTCTCAGATTTCTTAATGACATCTTCTCTGCCAACGTAGACCGAAGAATATTCTTTCATTTCGGGACCTTGTACAGAGTCATCAACATCCATGCTAGTTGAACAACAACAAGAAGAAGAAAAAAGAAAGCAAAGTGCAAATGATTTTCACTAGTTTGGGTTTAGAGAATCATAAGTCTGGATCTAAGTCTGATGAAAGCATCTTTTTATAACACTATAAAATACTGGGTTATACATAAATACTGTATTATAATTCGCCCTGATTTTGAGTTAGCCTGCCAAAATTAGGAAAGATTCCTCACACTCAGACAAGATTCACAATAAATTCTCTCCAAGGCACAAGATAAAAATCAGTTTGTTTAAAACACAGAGATTAAAAGTTTCACTGTCCTCATAGTGAATTTTATTCCCTTTAAAATTCAGTGCTAAAAAGCTAATGAACTTTCTTATATAATCTGCAGATATGTTGGAAATTTCTGTCTCTTCTGATACTTGCTCTGCGAATTTTTGGTATACAAAATTTCTGATTTCTGCTCTTCTAGATTGTGGAGAAACCGCAAAATAAGGAAGAGCTAACATTATCCATGTAAATGTTGCAGAGGATTGAACTAGACATAGTCATCTTGAATAAACTGTCTATGGATCATGCTCTGGAATTCTTTAGAGTTGCTTTGTCATAAAGTGTTGGCTCTGTAACTTTTTTTTCATCTGTGAACATCTATGTTGATTTATAATAAACTAAACTTTTTCTTTAAAAAAAATAAATAAATAAAAAATAAGGTAAGGTAAGGTAAAGGCCCTCCCGTTGATCGTCGATTTGCTCGAGCGGGCCCAGTAACGTCTCCATTGGAGACTTTGCTGTTACTGTGTCTGGCATATCGAATACTCTCGGTAGCTTGCCGGGCTCTCCGAGAGGGGCGGAGGAATCGAAAAATAAAATTCAGTGCTAAATAATATCCAGACACTATCCATGTTATTTTTAGACTACTGCTTGGCTTTTCCTGGAGAAGGTAACTAACTTCGAGATCAACCAGTTAGCTACTCTAGCAGGAAGCAAGGGGTGAGTAGATATCTATCATTTTCTCAGATAGAAATTGTCATAGGGCATTTGCCTAGACATGGCTGACCTGGGTTCAATACCTAGTACCCATAGAGTCCCCTGAGCCTGCCAGGAGTGATACCAGAGTGCAGAGCCATGAGTAAATCCTGAGTACTCCATGGTGTGGTTCCAAAACAAAAAACAAAAATTGCTTTTTCTTGTGATGGAGAGACAGTACAGTAGGTAATATACACGCACCTGATCCAGGTTCAATCCCTGGCATTGCATATGGTCCCCCAAGCACTACCAGGAGTGGTTCCTGAGTGAAGAGCCAGGCATAACCCCTGAATATTGCTGAGTACGACCCAAAAATGAAAGAAAGAGAGAGGGAAAGGAAAAAAAGAAAGATGGAAGAGGCAGAGAAAGAAAGAAACGGTCATTTATCTTCAACTGATTCACAGAAGTATATTAACTGTACTTCTAGTTGTTGGTTATTACTTTGTTGAGTGTACTTGTTGAGGTGCTGGGGTTGCATACTTGGTTGTGGTGTCAACCAGGAGTGAAACCTGGCAAACTGGGGTTTGTGAGAACGCACAGGAGCGAGGCAGGTACCACTGTCCCTGGGCCTTTTACCACATCCAGAGGCAAATCATAGTAGAGAATCTGCAGGTAATCTTTTTATTTTATTGTTTTTTGCTTTTTTGGGTCACACACGGTGATACACAGGGGTTACTCCTGGCTCTGCACTCAGGAATTACCCTGGGCGGTGCTCAGGGGCGCCATATGGGATGCTGGGAATCGAACCTGGGTCAGCCCCGTGCAAGGCAAACACCCTACCCGCTGTATTATCGCTCCAGCCCCTCTGCAGGTAATCTGAATACAGCTTTCTACAGGGCATACTCAGCCTACTTAAGATTTTATACACTTAATCATGGTATGTGAGTCCCATATGAAAAGTAAGCATTTATAGATGAGTGTCAGGGGTTTTTTGGCCCCATGTGAGTATACTGAGGAAATGGGAAGAGTTAAGGTTTTATTTGCCCCTATTTAAATGCCTGACTGAAATGATATATAATGTTCTGCCAAAATGTCTGCATTGTTTCTTTGGTCCTAATCACAAATCCATCATTATTCTTATTTCTTTTTGTTATTGCAAATTTTGGGGAAACATTTCTGACTTTCTTCCCTTCCTCAACTTCGGAACTATGGTTATTTTGACTGTAATTTTCAAAACTTATAAAGATAGAGACGATGCATCATCATCTAAGACTGGTAAGAGCATATTTTGAACCTTTGCAATCAACGAAATAAAAATTGACAAGAAACCAGAACCACTCAAGGACTTGGCTCTTTCTTTTCTTTCTGAAGCCCATGCTAGACTATCCCTGCATCTCCTCTGCCCCCTGCTGGAGAACAGAAGTGTGACTCTGTGGACAACTCTGCCCAGCTCAACTGCGGACCCAGGCAGGCTCAGCAGGGTACAGGCAGCTAGGAGAGAAGCTGCCTGAGACACACAGGAGATCCTCGTACCTGGGCACTCCCTTGGAGTGGGGCTGCTTCAGTGCCTTTCCATGGGAGAGAAACTAAAAGTGAAGGGTAACATCTAATCACAAGCTACTGATATTTGGAAGGACAGATGGCTAGGTTTTGATGTGGTCTATTTAAGAAGGAATATATGGAGAAGAAGGCTGGAGCGATAGAACAGCGGGTAGGGCGTCCGCCTTGCACACAGCAGACCCGAGTTCGATTCCTCCGTCCCTCTCGGAGAGCCCCAAGAGTACTGGCCCGCACGTCAGAGCCTGCCAAGCTCCCTGCGGCGTATTCTATATGCCAAAAACAGTAACAACTAGTCTCACAATGGAGACGTTACTGGTGCCCGCTAATTGATCAACAACGGGAGGACAATGCTACAGTGCTATATGGAGAAGTGAGCAGGGACAATTCTTGAAAAAGTGACTATCAAGAAAAAAAAAGTAATTACTGACAATCTTTAGCCCAGAAGTATTATAAATAAGAAAACTTTCAGCAATAGGTCTTCAGATTCTCCTAACAGTTCTCACTTCTCACTGGAGGTAGCCATTCATTTCAGACATACTTTCTAAATATCCTCAATGGGAGTGGCACTTCAGGAAGTAAAGTAGATATGGCCTCTGGTCACCTACAGGTGATATTATGATCAGTTACATAAATAAGGTAAAAAAAAATATACAAGTGAATAAGATACAAATTAGGATAAGAGCCATGAAGAAGACAAACCAGATAATTAGCATGAAATGGGAAGGTCATTTTGCAAAGAACGAGCTGTGAAAATGACTCTGAGATGACTGTTGAGCAAAAGCCTGAAAAATGCAAAAAAAAATTAAAAAAAAACTAGTCACAGTAACAGCTGGGGGAAGATAACTCCAGGCTGAGGGAACAGCAAACACAAAGCCTGAAGGAAAGAAGACTTGGCTTACCTGAAGAACAGAATGGAGACTAGAGTTTCGTAAGCAAGATTGGTAAGATGCACATGAGCCAAGTAGCAGGAAATGGGACATCATGGAATTCTGAAGGAACGCCCTGCCTGTGTGAAGCCTGGATTGAGGCAAAATAAGAGTGGAAGCAAATCATGGGAGCTGAAGTGATTGTATAGTAGGTGGGGCATTTGGCTTGCATATGGCCGACCTGGTTTTGATCCTGGCACCCCATATGGTCCCCTGAGCACCTCCAAAAGTGATCCCTGAGCACAGTGCCAGGATTAAGTCCTCAGCTCTGACAGGTGTGGCCCCTACCCCCTCACCACCACCAATCCCAACTTGCAAAAAACAGTGGGAACAAACCAGAAGGTTACTGCTATTGTTTGTGGCTGAGAAGATGATGTTGAAAAGAGATGACTCTGGAGGTGGGAATGTAATTCCAACACTGACAGAATTCTGGCAGTAACTACAATTATATTTTACTAGCTTCATGTCAGGCAGTTCTGAGATAGAACATTTAATTCAGTTAAACTTCCAACCATGTAACTATAAAGAAGGTATTTAAATTTTATTGTGAGGACGCAGAAAGAGGCACAGAGAAGCTGGGCTGAATGAATGAAGCAAAGAAACTACAGAAAAAGAAACTGGGTAATTCCTAGGTTTTAAGTTTTGTAGCTAGATTATGAGTTATGAATCATGAGTTAGGATCCTGATGGATAAAGACAGGGAAAAAAAAGACCTGGAAAATCTAGAACTAACTACTGTCACTGTCCTCCCATTGTTCATCAATTTGCTCGAGCGAGCCCAGTAACATCTCCATTGTGATACTTGTTACTGTGTTTGGCATATTGAATACATCACGGGTAGCTTGCCAGGCTTTGCCGTGCGGGCGAGATACTCTCGGTAGCTTGCTGGGCTCTCCGAGAGGGGTGGAAGAATCGAACCTGGGTCAGCCGGGTTGGCCGCGTGCAAGGCAAACACCCTACCCGCTGTGCTATCGCTCCATTTTGCACATATTGATTCTGAGGTATCAGGCATTAAATGGGAACATCAAGTCAAGAGCAGATTTGAGAATCATCAGAGAGATAAATTTGGGAGTTTCTAAGCTATCAAATTCAATGGAATGATTTGGAGAGAGAGTACCGATAGGGAAGAGGATCTAATACGATTCCTGAAATAGACCGGGGTTTTCAAGTCAGGTAGAAAAGTGGCTCAAAAAAGGGACTGCCATCTGGGGGACATAAAGTAACAAAATAGGAGATTAATACCCAAGAATAGCCGAGATCAGTACCAGGAGGATTACTCCATGGCTTAGAGGCCAGCTGGGCATTCCAGGGGAAAGGGCAACTCAGATAGAGAAGGGAGCACCAAATAAATGTTGAAAGTAGACTATGGACTGAACATGATTGCCACTCAATGCCTCTTTTGCAGACCACAACACCCCAAAGGAGAGAGAGAACAAAAGGGAATGCCCTACCACAGAGGCAGGGTGGGATGGGGAGGATAGGTATGGGAGGGATACTGGGATCCATGGTGGTGGAAAATGGGCACTGGTGGAGGGATGGGTATTTGACCATTGTATAATCAAAACCCAAGCACAAAAAATTTGTAAATCTACAACTGTACCTCATGGTCTTTCACTAATAAAATTTTTTTAAAAAATTAAATTAAAAAAATCTTAAAAATTTTTTTTAAAAAAAGGGAATGCGCCTGCCACAGAGGCGGGGCAGGAGGTGGGGGTGGGGGGTGGGATTGGGTGCAGGGAGGGATAGTGGGAACACTGGTTGGGGAGAATGGGCACTGGTAGAGGGATGGGTACTCGATCATTGTATGACTGAAACTTAAGCACTTAAGTTTGTAAATCTGTAACTGTACCTTACGGTGAGACACTAAAAAACAATAAATAAATATAGAAGACTGCAAAAATAAAATGAAATAACCCCCCCCCCAAAAAAAAAGAAAGGAAAAGAGGCTCAAAAGAAGCAAGACTGGGCTGGTTGAGTTCAACCTATTGCTAATCATGTGACATCCCTTCACTTGCTCCTACTCCCCATTCCCCTTGACCTGCAAATAAGTTCTAACTCCACAGAAAAGACAAGCAAGGAGATAAAGCCTCCTCTGACATTGAATACCTTCACGTACTCAACAATAAATGATACATAACCAAACCAAGAGCTTTCTAGAAAACTGTCCCAAAACGGGTCATTGCATACAGATCTTGGCCTCCCCAGCTTAGCCCAGTTCTTTCTGTCATCTTACTTTCCCAGAAATTAAATATTTCTTATGGTTTTCCATCCAGAATATGATTATGACTAGTCTTCTTCCCCTATATATCTATATATACAATCCATATATATATATATATTAGAGTATTTTTTTTCTTTTTTGGGTCATACCTGGCCATGCACAGGGGTTACTCCTGGTTCTGCACTCAGGAATTACTCCTGGCAGTGCTCAGGGGACCAGATGGGATGCTGGGAATCGAACCCGGGTCGGCCACGTGCAAGGCAAACGTCCTACCCGCTGTGCTATCGCTGGAGCCCCTCCACGATATTTCTAAAGTGAGTCCAAATATCCTTTTGGCCAAATATATAAAAAAAGAAATGGGAAAAATCAAGACTAAGGAGTTTCTCAATATTGTTCATAGGGAAACCTTAAGGGTCAACGGTATATAAGTCTGATCCAAATCTTTGAATGCTTTTGTTTGGGAATCACACCCAGCTATGCTCTGGACTTTCTCCTGGCTGAGCTCAGGGACCACCCCTGGCTGTGCTCTGAAGATTGGGGACTGAACCTGGGTGGGCTCTGTGCAAGGCAAATGCTCTACTGGCTATACTACCTCTCCTGACCCAGGAGAGATAGTATAATTATTATTACTGAATCTAAATAATAATTCAAATACACTCTTGGGTAACATTTAGGAAACAATCTTTGACATTTAAACATACAAACAACTTAAATATTTATATATATATGTACATATATATATATGTATTTCCTAGGGGTTACAATTCTAGAGGCTTTGATTAGTTAGGTTTATTTCAACATTTTTATTTTCAGTTCTATTTAAACAATCTCATCATTTTATGGTATTATTAAAACTACAGAAAGGTCCGGGCAACATAAGAAGGGTCCAACCCTGCCTTATAGCTATGGGTAAGGAATTGCATATGGAAAAGGAAAAGGAGTATAATTAAAGCGTCACCCACACTAACTGTAGGGACCCGGGTTGCTAGGGAACACCAAGAAGTCAGCCTTGGGACAAGAACATTGTCTACAAGGTAAGACACTTAATTAACTTACAAATCACATGTCAACTTCAAAATATTCTAATTTTAAGAAGATGAGCTATCCAATCCACATTCTCTTCATAAGCTGTAACACTGATGCATTTCATATAAAATTACATAGAATGATAATGTATCTTGCCTTGACAATAGCACGGCGGTAGGGCATTTGCCTTGCGTGCAGCCAGCCTGGCTGAGCCAGGTTCAATTCCTCCGCCCCTCTCGGACAGCCTGGCAAGCTACCGAGAGTATTCAATATGCCAAACACAGTAACAAGAAGTCTCATAATGGAGACGTTACTGGGCCTGCTCGAGCAAATCGATGAACAACAGGAGGACGGACGGAAGGACGGCCTTGACAATAGGCACTTATTTTAACTCACCACACACAGGTTGCCGATTTACATGCAAATATATATTAAACCTGTAAAAGGGGAACTTGGGCTTTGTTCCTAGCCCAGAAAGGTTACAAGTTATAGATGGATACCATCTCTACCAGGGGAACATTTATTAATAGAGCAGGACCAAGAACTTCTGGGACTTCTACAGGGAATTTTGCTAATAACTTCTCTAAATACTTATTTAACCCTGTGCACCAGATTGGTGTTCTGAATACCCTAAAGGAAAAAAGCAAGGCTCAGTTAAAAAATGTTTATAACGAAGAGAAAAGAATATTTCAAAGTAAAAGCTGAGTACGTTAAGAGTAAGCTGAGAAAAGAGCAAGTCAGAGGCCACTACTGTGAGAGGGTGGTGTGAAGCCAAACGGTGGCGGTCAGGCATCTCGTGAGTCTGGGCTCCCAACCCCACATGCTGGGAGAGGCCTGTTCTGCAGGTGCATGTGCGCTGATGGGCTGAGCACTTGAATTCGGCAGGAGCTGATAAGAAATGAGCAGGAAAGCTGGGGGCATGAGATAGAGGTTTCAGAGAACTATGGTTACAGACTCTGCTTAGAAAACTATTTTTTTTTAATTTTATTGAATCACCGTGAGAGAGTTACAAGCTTTCATGTTTGAGTTACAATCACACAATGATCAAACACCCATCCCTCCACCAGTGCACATTTCCCACCATCAATATCCCCGGTATACCCCCCCTTTCCCACGCTCCTCCTGCCTCCATGGCAGACAATATTCTCCATACTCTCTCTCTACTTTTGGGCATTATGGTTTGCAATACAGACACTGAAAGGTTATCATGTTTGGTCCTTTATCTCCTTTCTGCACACATCTCCCATCCCGACCGGTTCCTCTAAGCCATTATTTTAGAAAACTATTAACTCGTACTTCATAACTGTTCCCACTTTATCCTAAGTGGTATAATTTCTATCCGGTGAGTATTGCTAATATCCATATTATTCTTTTTAAAAATTTTTTTAAAAATTTTTTATTGAGTCACTGTGAGATACAGAGTTACAAAGCCGATCACGGTCGGGTTTCAGTCATACAGTGTTCCAACACCCATTCTTCCAACACAGGACATTTCCCAGCACCAATGGCCCTGATTTCCCTCCCCTGTCTCTTTCTGTCTCCGTCTCCATCTCTCTCTCCCCATTTTGGGGCATTATTACGCCCATATTATTCTTAAAGATTGTGAATATCACTGTCCACTCTCTCTACGGAGTTGATGCGTTCACCTTAATTACTGTTCCTCAGTCATGTGCTCCCACCCATTTCCTCTATTTTAAGTCTGTTTTTATGAGAGTAGAATCTTAAACATACAAAGAATATTAAAGAAAAATAACTTCCATACTCAGTTTGGAGATTAGATGAAGAAAACTTACTTGTGAAAAGTTTAGTTGGTTTTGTGCTGCTGTTCTTTTCAAGAAATAACTTTTGGTCGGTGCCTAAAATAATTTAGCAACTGAAATTTCTAGGTACGAATACAATTTCTAGGTGCAGATACAAATTAGTCCTTAGTCCTAGATACAAATTAGAACCTTAGTCTCTCTCCTCAGTATCCACTTCTATCCATTGCATCATAAGGAATACATTCAAGCCAAATTTTTAAATATATATATACATATATATACACCTTATTTAAGCATTCATAAAACTGGAGTTGAAGAAGTGAAATGAGAGGGACTTACTTGCTGTCCTCTTGAGCGCTGACCATGGCAGGCACTTTCATTCACTGTCTGGGCACTCAGCCTAGAAATGATCAGAATTTATAGTTCCAGGGTAAGACTCTTTCAGAGTCAATGAAAAGAACTTCCCTCTTTTTTAAACAGCAAAAATCTATTAGCTATTCTTCAGTAGTACCTACAGCTTGGATTCTTACATATTCATCTCATCCGGTCTCCACAAAAACCCTTGAGTAGATTATCATACTTTTATTTCAGATGAGACTATTTGTGGGTAAAGGATCTTTCTCAAGAGTTTCTCCAAACTCACGAAGAATCAATCTCAGACCTCATGAGACTAAATTTAAAGAGCACTGATGTACAGATCCGAATATTTCACATAAGAAGCATCATACTTATAAAACTATATGGACTGTTAGTAAATTACCTTGAAGATAGAGAAAGAGGGTTTTCCTTTTTCCAGCAAAAAGAAAGAAATACGAGTATCCAGCACCTAGTAACATACATAAGACCTCTCCCCTGGATATATACATATATTACCATGGTTCTGATTACGTTTTTTATTTTGCTGTTCCCAAGGGAGCTCCAGCTGGGAGGCGGAGAGGGGATGGGGGGGGACCTGAACCTTGTTCAGGCAAGGCACGTTTCCTGCCACTAGGGCCACATCCCAGGCCCTGATTTAATTAAGCCCAGGGGTGCAAAGCAGCAAGGCGGTGGGGCTGCCCCCGTCCTACCCCCTGGGACCCTAACAAGCCGCGTGGACGCTAGCAAGTTGCACACACATCGCCTGGAGCCTGACCCGGTGACCTGCCCCTGCACGATCAGCGCCCCCCGGGAACACTCGGAGGGGCTGCCCCCTCTCGGGTTCCTGGCTCCGGGGCGCGGGCCGCCGGCCGAGGCAGGCATCTCTAGCTCTGGAACCAAGGCGGCGGCGGGCAGCTGGGGCACCCTGGACGGCAAACGGCTGTTTGGGGTGGCCTCGGGGTCAGCGCGCTGCAGACGCTGGGGTGGACTCGGGGAAGCAGTGCTCGGCAGACAGGGGGGTGGGCTCGGGGAATCAGTGCTCGGCAGGCGGTGGGGAGGCCTCAGGTCCGCGCTTGGCAGACGCTGGGGTGGACTCGGGTTGTGCTCTCGGCAGGCAGCGGGGTGGACTCGGGGCTGGGCTCGGCAGAGGGCTGGGCGGGGTAGGTTCGGGTCAGCAACGGGCAGAGGCAGAGCTGGAGGGGACTCGGGTCTGCGCTCGGCAGAGGGTGCGGGGGACGCGGGTCTGAGATCGGCAGACGGTGGGGTGGACGCCACGGGCGCAGCACTCACCGTCCTCCGAGCCGCGCGCCGCCGCCGCCAGCCAGAGCCGCCGCCTCGCCGGAGCCACCGGGAACTGGGGACCCGGCCGAGAGGCCCACGTGACCCGGCCCCGCCCCCGACAGGCCCCGCCCTGCCCCACCAGGCCCCACCCACCGACCGGCCCGCTCCGCCCCCTTGCCCCGCCCCGCCCCCCGACAGGCCCCGCTCCGCCCCGACCGGCCCCGCCCCGCCCCGACCGGCCCCGCCCACCGACCGGCCCGCTCCGACCCCTTGCCCCGCCCCGCCCCCGACAGGCCCCGCTCCGCCCCGACCGGCCCCGCCCCGCCCCGACCGGCCCCGCCCACCGACCGGCCCGCTCCGCCCCCTTGCCCCGCCCCGCCCCCGACAGGCCCCGCCCCGCCCCGACCGGCCCCGCCCACCGACCGGCCCGCTCCACCCCCTTGCCCCACCCCGCCCCCGACAGGCCCCGCTCCGCCCCGACCGGCCCCGCCCCGCCCCGACCGGCCCCGCCCCGCTCCGACAGGCCCCGCCCACCGACCGGCCCGCCCCGTCCCCTTGCCCCGCCCCGCCCCGACAGGCCCCGCCTCTCCCCCGACAGGCCCCGCCCCGACAGGCCCCGTCCACCGACAGGCCCGCCCCGCCCCCTTGCCCCGCCCCGCCCCCGACAGGCCCCGCCCCGCCCCCGACAGACCCCGCCCCGACAGGCCCCGCCCACCGACCGGCCCGCTCCGCCCCCTACCCGCCTGCACCAGCTCGCCGGCTCCCCGTGGTCCTGGAGCTAAGTCGCTGATGTCGGTGTATTTGTCAATAGTAGTTGATAGCGCTACACACGTATCCAAATTCTACGGCCACCCAGGGTCTCCACTTCCAGAAACTTATGGGTAAAGGATCAATCTCAGACCTCATGAGACTAAATTTAAAGAGCACTGATGTATAGATCCTAATATTTCACATAAGAAGCATCATACTTATAAAACTATATGGACTGTTAGTAAATTACCTTGAAGATATAGAAAGAGGGTTTTCCTTTTTCCAGCAAAAAAAAAAACACTATTTCCTTAGAGAAATAGTTCTCTAAGAGTTCGCCTGGAAGCCAGCTTCAAGAAATGTGGCAAATGTTAAAGCAAACCTGGGTGCTCAGGTTCTTGTCCTCAAGGGGGATTGGAGACCCAGAACATTGATTTTTTATTGAAGGGAAGGGAACAGGGAAGCTCCCAGGTTATGGATTCTTGAGAAAGGCAGAAACCTTTTCCCCTTTCATAACTTTTTTTGTTTTGTTTTGTTTTGCCTTTTGGGTCACACCAGGCCATGCACAGGGGTTAATCCTGGTTCATGCACTCAGGAATTACTCCTGGCGGTGCTGGGGAGACCATATGGGATGCTGGGAATCGAACCCGGGTTCGCCGCGTGCAAGGCAAATGCCCTACCTGCTGTGCTATTGCTTCAGCTACTTCTTTAAAAACTTTTTTTTTTTTGCTTGATTTTGTTTTGGCATCACACCTGGCTGTGCTCAGGGCTTCCTCCTGACTTTGTACTCAGGGATCACTCCTGGTGGCATTCCATAAACTGTCAACCCTGTGCAGAGCAAGTGTCCCATCTGCTGTGCTTTCTGCCCCCTTATACATTGTTCACAAAGTGGGCATGGTGAGCATTTCTCTATTGCTTTTAGAGATGGGCCAGTAAAACAGGAATAAGGATGTTGAGATGTTTATTTTATGGTGCCCAGCCATCTAGATTATTCAGTCATCTAGATTACCAGGTTGAGCCTAGGTATACCCTTGTTGATAACCCATACCAATAATTTCTTTTCTTAGGGTCATATTTCTAATCCCTCCCTGCTGGTTCCCCTTTCATCTCTATCACAACAGAATAGTCAAAGTGATCACCAACCGGGGAATGAATAAAATGCAGAGTAGATGTGGGAATTACTTTGTAGTCATATATTTAGAAAACGAATTCCATTATGTAATTAATATTGTAAAACAACATGTAGGATACTATATGTAACATGTTGTCCTTAACATAAATATAAGCTACTTCTCCAGATGCAAATATGTACACATGGGCAAAAACTTGTAACTAAAGAAATTTTGTGACTTACTCATGATGGAGACGTTACTGGGCCCACTTGAGCAAATCGAGCAGAGCAAATCGATGAACAACAACCGGAGGACAGCGCTACAGTGCTACAGGGGATAGAGGTTTCACTTTCAATTTTGAACTAGCAACTTATGTTTTTTCTCTTTATTCTTCTCTAAGAAAGAAAAAAGGGAAAGCACTTTCTTCATGTATTCAAAGTTGGCAGTTAAATAAACGTCTTAGACTCTTCAAACGTGGCTTTGCTGGTCAGAGATAAGATAGTACAGCAGGTAAGGTGCTCTCCTTGCATGCACTTGATCCTGGTTTGATCCCTGGCACTGCACAAGTTCTCTGGAAGCCCCACCCCAGTCCCAAGGATGGATCTATCTATCTATCTATCTATCTCCTTGACTATCTTATAAGGCAGTGGTTCCTAACTCTTACTACTCCTAAAAGTCACTGCACCTGAAAGTAAATATTAAAATGTCATGATGTTGGGCCATAATGACAGTACAGCGGGGAGAGTGTTTGTCTTACACACGGTCAACCTGGGTTGGATCCCCGACATCCCATATGGTCCCCTGAGCATTACCAAGAGTAACTCCTGAGTAAAGAGCCAGGAGTAACTCCTGTGCATCACCAGGTATGGTCCCAAAGCCAATAAAATTAAATATTAAAAAGTCATGATACATGGCCACCTAGCTTCACCAAGAGAGTGCAGAGTACAGAGCCAGGAGTAATCCTTGAACGCTGCCAGGTGTAGAAAATGGCAAAAAAAAATTTTTAATTAAAAAGTCATGATATCCAGACCAATGAATAAAAATCAAAGGGAAGGATCAATATCTATTTCCTAACTTCTCGGTTGACTTCAGTGTGACCTCAAGGCTGAAAAACATAATCATATTTATTTATTTATTGCTTTTCGGGTCACACCCGGCAATGCACAGGGGTCACTCCTGGCTCTGCACTTAGGAATTACTCCTGGTGGCCGCGTGCAAGGCAAATGCCCTACACACTGTGCTATCACTCCACAATCCATATTTAATATGCTGACTTTCTGATCTCTGATCTTAAGGTGGCCTCAAATAACTCAAAGTAAGAGCTCTGTCCATAGGCCACAGTATTCCAAATAAATCGTCCTCCTACAGGCCCCATCTTTTTAAATATTGAGAAACCTAGAATAATGGATTTGCCTTCAATATAAATTTCTTCTGTTTTCCGTTCTGTATAGTTTGATGGTAACAGAATGTCTCATGGGATCATTTCCCTTTAACTCTTTGTTTTCTCTGATCCAAGTATAAATTAAACACCTAGTTTTGGTGAATAACTTTATTGATATGGTAGTAAAATATAAAGTTGGATTTACTATAATCCACATTATATGCTAGTTATCACAGATTATTTTATTGGCACATGGAGCTGCAACTAGTTCCCAGCTTATGTCACTAAAGATTTGCTATTTCCGATGAAAAGTTCTCTTTTGCTTTAACTTAATCTGGGTTTTTTTTCTTTAAAGCACATCAAATGTCTGTTGACCCTAAATCTAATAAACAGTTGAAAAAACTGAAGTTCTTTGAGATGAGTATATCACTTAATCACTCAACTTCCCGTTAGTCGTCTATTTGCTCGAGCGGGCGCCAGTAACGTCTCCATTTGTCCCTGTCGCGTGCTAGTGTAGCCCAATGGCATATCTTCGCTCCGGGAACATGAAGGGCCTCAAACCGATCATTCATGATCTTGACGAAGAAGTCTGACCATCTGGAAGGTGGGCGGCCACGCGGTCTTTTGACATCCCGTGGAATCCAGTCAGTAACAGCTCTGGTCCAACGGTCGTCTTTAAATCTCATTACGTGACCAGCCCATCTGATTTTCGACACCTTGGCAAATGAGACAGCGTCCCTGATTCTTGATCGTCGATGGATGTCAGAACTCCGGATTCTTTCTCTCATTTGAGTGAAACATGATATTCCAAGCATAGCTCTTTCTATTCTTCTTTGGGAGACCTGAATAGCGTTCTCATCTTGTTTGCGTAGGGCCCAGGTCTCTGAGATGAGTATATATTTAGCACAAAATGAATGAGGAAAAAAATGAAATTTTTCTCTCTAAAGTATTAATATATGTAGTCACACAACATGAAGAGCTTAGAAAACTAAAATGTGGTGGATGAAAGAATAAAAACTACCCCACTCCACTTTCCAGACATGGATACATGGGGACTTGCTTGTACTGACAGCAATAACTCATTAAGTCCATTTGAAAGTTATTACAGTTCAGAATAAAATTCTTGTATTTATTTATCATTTCAAATTACAAAGTCATAAAGTGATTCATGTTTGGGTTTCTGGTTATAATATCCCAACATCAGTCCCTTCACCAGTGTCCATTTCTCTCCACCAATGTCTCCCTCCTGCCCCCAGCCTGCCGCTATAGCGGGCACTTTTTTCTTTTAGGCACTGTGGTTTACAATCCTGTTGCTGATGGGGCATCATGCATATCACTTTACCTCCTTTCAGAACTCCCTCCTCCTCCAGGGAAATCACTTCTCTCCATATGATCATAGCGTTCCCTTCCCTGATTTCTTCCCCCGCCCCTTCCCTGCTCCTCTCTGTGGCGAGCTTCCTGCTGAACACCAGTTCTCATGCTCTTCGTATCTACTGCCTCTGGGCATTTGTTATTCCCCTCGTTTTCTTTATACCCAGGATATGAGAGAGATGATTCTCTGTCTGTCCCTCTGACAGCTTCACTCAGCATGATACTCTCCACATAACAGCAAATTGCATGACTTCATTTTTTTCTTACTGCCAAGTAATATTCACAGTATATATGTTCCATAGTTTCTTTATTCATTCATTTATCTCTTTGGGGGCACCTGGGTTGTTTCCACAGAATAAAATTCTTTTTGTTTTTATTTGTCTTGCTTGGGAGCTACACCAGACCAGGTGGTACTCAGCAATCACTCCTGGGGAGCTCAGGGCACCATATGGGATGCTGAAGATTGAACTGGGTCAGTTGCATCGGAGGCAAGCACCCTACCTGCTCCAGTATCACAGTAAAATTCTTGAGTGCTACTGCGTTTTTTCTCCTTTCCTTTGCCTTTTCCCTTTCCTCCTTTCTCTCCTTCCTTTGCAGTAGCACAGTCTGAGCTAGTGTGGACCCCACTCCCACACAGTCTCCTTGGAGAGGCATGCAGAGATTTTGCATCTCAGTCTACCTATCTCTTGTTCTTTTACCCTTTTGTTTTAGGCAGTAAGGTTGAGGGGGCCTTGCAATGCATGTTAGGGAAAACACTGTCTGGATCCTAAAACCAGCCCACTGGTTTGAGGGCCTTTGACACAACAGAACCTTCTTGGAAACCTGTAAAAATGTTGAGATGCAGAACTGCAGACCAGGCACACAGAGGTTTTGGAGAGGAGAGTTGGCTTGACACTCTGGAAGCAGAGGCTTCACCACAGAATAAAGGCCATGCAAAGAATATCTAAAGGAGACCATCAACTGCTCCATACTCTACCCCTCTGAGCCTGGCAATAGTCTGGTGGGGGCAGTTTGGGAAAACCATATATAAACTAACTTGGCAGAGGTGCCCACTTGCTTGCATCTCTTGAGATGTAGACTTTAATACTTTAGGGCACAATTGCCTGTATCTCCTGTTGAGGTGTGTACTTTCTTTTATACAATTAAAAAAATTAAAGAATTGTTGGTTACAATGTTAGGGTTTTTTTTTTTCTTTTTGGGTCACACCTGGCGATCCACAGAAATTACTCCTGGCTCTGCACTCAGGAGTCACTCCTGGTGGTGCTTAGGGGACCACATGGGATGCTGGGAAAACGCCCTACCCGCTGTGCTATCGCTCCAGCCCCAGGTCTGTATTTTCTTAGCCTTGGTTTGCCTTTTTTTTTTTTATTCAAATCTGCCTGAGATGTGTGCTTTCCTATTTTAGGACACATTTCCCTGTTCTGCGATGTGTACTTTGCGTTTTACTATTCTAAAGAACTCCGTGTTTTCTCTCTCTCTCTCTCTCTCTCTCTCTCTCTCTCTCTCTCTCTCTCTCTGCTTTTTGGGTTACACCCAGCGATGTTCAGGGATTACTCCTTGCTCGGCACTCAGGAATTACTCCTGGTAGTGCTCAAGGGATTATATGGGATGCTGGGGATTGAACCCACGTCAGCCATGTGCAAGGCAAATGCCCTACTCACTATACTGTTGCTCTAGCTCCCCGTGTATCCATATCTACCTTTCTCCTTCCCTCCCCTTATTTCCTGAATAAACTTGTTTGCTTCACTATTGTCTTCTGAGATTCTTTCTGTGAGGGAAAGTCAGTAGACCCAAAGGGCCGGGGTTAAGATTTAGGGCTGGCTTTCCTTTCCTGGAAAGGGCTCCAGCTGAGTCCAGGTCTCCCCCAGAAAACAGGTGCAGGGACCCACACCTTGCTGAACAAGTGGAATCAGGTGCCATTTGACAGTCGTCTTCTGGGGCTGGTGAGACATGAAGCCTGTACTGCTTATAGCAGACTCATCAGTCCTATATTCCCAGGTATGTTTCTGGGGGACTAAGGAGGAAGAGGGAAGCAGATTTTCTTCTCCAGGCTGCTGCTTCTCTCTCTTCTCCCCGCTTCACACAAGGAACCCTACTCCTTGCTGGTGGGTGTTGCATCTCCTGCCTCCGCAAAAAAAGCCTGTGTACTGAGGAAACACTGAGTGCCCACTCTATCAAGCATTGTCTCAGTTTGGCATGTATCACTGGATGGAACATAGGAGACTTTTGAATGCACTGGCTTTACAAGGCAACTTCCTGTGTCTTTGTTCTGCATTTGTGAATGAACAGGACTGACTCTCATGGAATTTTTGCAGATTCTCTGGCAAAATACACTGGTTACAGACATTGTGCTCATAAATCCTGCCTCTTTTCTCTGGGATCAAAGGCCTTTAAGGAAAAGAGGCTACCTTGACCTGATTCTCAACAAGCCACACCGACAGACAGTGCCAATTTTTTTTTTTTTTAGAGAGTTTTATATTTGCAAGCAACGTTCTGAGGTTGTAGCTGTGTTCTCCTGGCTGTATATCCAGGTGGCTCCATCTGCACAGTGAGTGCTGCCCACATGCACTTACCTTGGTGCTTCTGTTCTGTTTTGCTGGCTTTTGTGTGCTAAGAGACTCCACCTGTGAACAGCGTCTGAGCCCTAGAGGCTGGATGTGCACCTGCACAGTTTGTTACAGAAACTGCACCCCCCCCCCCATTTTGTTTTTGGGCCACACAAGGCAGTTCTGGGGGAGGTTACTCCGGGCTCTGAACGCAGGAATCATTCCCAGTGGGCTCAAAGGACCATATGGAATGCCAAGAATCAAACCTGGGTTGGGCAAAGGCAAGGCACGCACCCCACTCGCTGTACTATGTCCCTGAAACTGGCATATTTGAAAAGAACTATGGGAAGTTTTCATGTCTCTCTCCTCCAATCCCAGCTTCTATTGCAGCTAAACTGGGGGGGGGGGGGGGAAGCCACTTTAATTTCCCTCTGAGCAAACGCATTATCATGTGTGGGGGTGAGGGGCGGGGGCTGTTTTTATTTTACAAACACTGGTTCCGCTGTGACAGCACGATTCAGTTTTTTGACAGTTTCGCTTACAAACATTCTAAGCGCTTGTAAGGGGATGATAGCAAGGTGGGGGATGGGGTGTTCTCCCAGACAAGTTCTCTGGTCCCCAAGGTACATTGGTTTAACCCGTGAGTCAGAGTTAAGCAAAACCAGATGACAGCACAAGCAACGAAAGTCTGGCAATTTAGCTAAAGCGAATGACCTTCTCCAGAACACGGTGGGAGCTGAAAGAGGATCATGAAAGCAGCTCTCCCTCCGACCGGTTTCATTTCTGACAACGCCCCGAGGGCTTGCTCTCCAGGGTCCAGACGGGGAAAGGCGAGAGGACCTGGGAGAAGAAAGCTGGGAGAGCGCAGGAAACAAAGTGTCAACTTCAGAAACGTGTAACAGGTGGGGGGAGCGGAAGCCAGGGTCGCGCTCCGAGGCTCCTCCTGCCCGCGGGGCTTGTCCTCCTCCCAGCCTCGGCCGGATCCGGTGCCGGGGGCCGCGCCAGGGCCACCGGGGACTGGTCGCCGGCCCTGCGCCCCGCGCCTAGAAGACGCTTTCGCAGGAGCAGGGCAGCGTCCGCGGGCGCGGCGGGGGTGGGCGCGGGTAAGCCCGCTCGGGCTGCCCCCGCCGGGCGTGGTGGTAGTGGGGACCGGGCCAGCGGTGGCGGCGCAGCGCCCGGTGGCCGCGGAGCCCGCCGGCGTCCTCGGCCACGTCCTGGAGCGCGCAGCAGCAGCAGCAGCCCGCGCGCCTCCGCAGCCTCCGCCCGCGCGGGCAGCCGCCTGCCTGGAAGAAGAGGTAGACGAAGGGGTCGAGCGCGCAGCCGGCCACCCCGACCAGGCGCAGCGCGCCGGCCAGCGGCTCGCCGTCGCCGCCGGCCCCCCAGGAGGCCGCCAGGCGCGCGGCGCAGGAGGGCAGCTCGCAGCCCACGAAGAGCAGCGCCAGCGCCAGGCTCATCTGCAGGCTGCGCGCCTTGGCGCGGGGCAGCGCGGGGGCCGGGGGCGCGGGCGGCGGCCGCGGGCGCCAGGCGCGGAGCAGGCGGCCGCAGGCGACGCCCAGGACGGCGGCCGGCGCCGCGAAGCCCGCCGCGGCCTCGTAGAGCGCGTAGAGCTGCAGGTGGCGGCGCGGCAGGGGCGCCGGGCCGCCGCGGCAGCGCCGCTCCTCGGCCCCGGGCCGCGCCACGAAGGCGGCGGGCAGCGCCAGCAGCAGCGCCAGCAGCCAGCCCAGGCCGGCCAGGGCGCGCGCGGGCAGCGGCGGGCGGGCGGCGGGCGGCAGGGCGCGGCCGCGCTCCAGCGCGATGAGCGCCACCAGGTGCGCCGAGGCGCCGCGGGCCCAGGTCTGCAGCAGCCGCCGCGCGCCGCACGCCCGCGCGCCCGGGGCCCCGCGCGGCGCCCCCAGCTCCCAGGCCAGCGGCCAGAGCGCGGCGCCCCCGCACGCCGCCAGGTCGGCCAGCGCCAGCTGCAGCAGCAGGCAGTCGAGCTGGCGGCGCCGGGCACCGGCGCGCAGGCGGCACAGCGCCGCGGCGTTGCCGGCCACCGCCACCAGCAGCAGGACCCCCAGCCCGGCCAGGCGCGCGCGGCGCGGGGAGCCCGGCCCCGCGGTCGCGTTGAGCCCCCAGTCCGGCCCCTCGGGGGTGGCGGAGAGGTTGGGCGCCGGCCACGGAGCAGAGGGGCCGAAGGGATCCTCCATCCCGGCCCGCGGGAGAACGGGGGTCCCGCCGAGGGTGTCGGCGAGGCGGGGTGCGCCGTGCGCGGCGCGGCTCCGGGTCCGCGAGTTGCCGAAGTTAGCTGGAGACGCACCGCCCCGGCGGGGAGCTGGAGGCCGTGGATGTGCACGAAGTTGCTCCCGGAGAGGGTTCTCGTCGGCCGTCGCTCCGACGGGGGCCGGACGCCCGAGGAAACGCTCTGGAGATGCGGGTTCCCACCTTCCCGCGCCTCCCCAACGGATGCTAGCACAAACGCTTCCAAGCCCTGCCTTCGCCCCCGCACTCACGCCTGGGACGCGTGGACCAGCCCATCCCCACCCCGGGACCGTGCGGGCTCGCTGTTTACTGGTGTCCCTCAAAGGTGTGTTTCGTAATTGCTAGGAAAGCCAAAAAAGGCGCGGTTTAAAAATTTTTTTATTGCAAAGGTGGGGAGCTGAAAGGCCACGGATCGCTCTGCGCCAGCTGGAGAAGAATCGGGAATGCAGGCAACCTAGCAGCGGTTTGAGCGGAAGAAGAGCCTAAGAGGTTAACTTTCGCTCAGGATGAGTTGGCTGGTCTCCTTCTGACCTACCGCGTCCTATTAGTAGAACGCAGAAGGCTGGGACGTGGCCTGGTAGTGAGGGAGGAGTTTGCAGACGGTGGCCACTACTCCCGGTTACTGGAAGCTGCAGACGGCAGCTGCTCTTCTGCCACGTGGAACGTATCCCATCAGTGTCAAGAAGGCGTGAATAGGTTTTGCAAATGGGGTGGTGCATTAATTGCCTTCCTCCTAATATTTTCATCCAGTGGAGGATTTGTCATTATGCTTCCCCAGTCTCTTGGTTTGTTTTCCAGCAGATGGGAGGTTGCTAGGACGGACGACGCCTCCGGTAAGTCTAGAGGCAAGGTGACTAAGAAAAATGATAAGGCGGCCAATTTTTAAAAAAGAAATCCAAGTCACAGGATATGGTTTCAATTAAATGCCTCCTCTGTTTTGAGCTCTCCCTTCTCACAAGACATTTTTCTTTTCCTCTTGGAAATATGGGGGGGGGGGGTTGTCTCCTAGGCACCCCCACACCAGGCACAGTGAAAGTGGATTCCTGTGCTCTGCCAGGCTCACCTTCTCGGACCAGGACCCTGTCAGTTTCATGGGGCAGAGGAGAGGGTGTGGTGGGTGTGGGTGACAGTCCTGCCAGTGAGGGGGAGTAACCACCCCCTTTTGCGGCCTTGTCTTTGGAGGAGACACCTTGGCCATCTTCATCCTCACATAGCTCCTGCCTGGCTCTGGTGCAGGTGTGTGAACAGTCTCTGTAAACAGTAGCTCCGTCTGCTCAGATGTCTCCAACACGCAGCCTGTTCTGAGAACCACTGGGCTAAAACAAAGGTTTCCAACCTACTTGGGGCTTACAGGGGGAAAAAAAATAGTCAGCACCCTCCCTGGAAACCTCTCTCCTTTAAACTGGGAAACAGGAAGTGTCCCCAGTTGCATCCGAGACCACTGCCACCCACCTGAATCATTGCAGCACGCTCTCCCTTCCCAGTGCTGGGTCACCTATGAGGGGAGGCTGTTGTAGAGGGAAAACTCTGTACCTGGGGTCTGGTGTGAGATGAGCCACACAGTGCTGTCCTGCAGACTCTATATGGCCTGCTTGGCCTTCCCACATACTGGACGCTGTGCTCTATCCTAAGGGAAGAAATCAGGGGCAGGGGTAGGGTGGGATCTGAGTCAAGAAACGGGAGTTCCAGACCAAGCAAAAGGCAAAGCCCTTCAAGCATGACAGTTGAAGAAGTTCTGCCATTTATTCAGCCTCTAGAGAGAAACCAGCCTGCTGAGGAGGGAAGCAGGGGTCTCTGATAAGGTGTCAAGAAAAGTCACACAAAAGACTCGAAGTATTCTATTTTATTAGAAAAACCTTGTGGATACTGTATTGAAGGCCCAGGGGCCAGAAAGAATTCAATGATTTTACCTAGCCTGCACTAGTTTTACAGTTCTCAAAATCTGCAATGTGTATCAAACATGTTGACATACATTTAACAGGCTCTAGAAACACAGTCGTTCTCATTTTTTTAAAAAATTGTGGCCATCATTATTGACAAGAAATTAAAGTTGCAGTTTTATAGGTACCAAGGTATTACACAGTCACTCCCACGGTTTCAAGATCTCTCCTCTGTGTCTTCTCCCAGTACCCTCAGTTCCCAGTTTTATTGGTCATGAAACTCTATTTCTTAACTTCACCAAGACCTGATAAAAACCTTGATTTTGACCATAAATCACAAAAGGAAAAGGAGAAAGAGAGGAAGGAGAGTGCCTCCCATAGAGGGAAGCTCAGGGTGGGGTGTTGGGAGATAGTGGTAGGGAAACGGGGCATGAGTGGTGGGAAATGGGCACTGGTTGAGGGATGGGTATTGGATCATTGTGTGACTGAAACCCAATTATGAACAGCTTTGTAATGGTCTATCCCACAGATAGTCAATTAAAAAAATTTTAAAAAGTAATGTGGTGTTCATGCCCAATTCAATCAGCTTAATCAATGACTGAATAAATAGTAGTAATACTACGATCATGATCACGATCACATCACCCTGTTGTTCGTGGATTGCCTCGAGCAGGCCCCAGTAACGTCTCCTTCGTCCTAGCCCTGAGATTTTAAAAAGTGCCATATTCAAGGCTCTTTCAGGGTTAGGAGAATGAGCCCCATCATTGTTACTGGTATTTGGCATATTGGGTACGCCACGGGGAGTTTGCCAGACTCTGCCATGCCTACAGGTTACATTCAGTAGCCTGTCAGGTTGTCCAACATCGCTGAAGCGGGGCGGACTGTCCCCAATGCCCCCGGGCGAAGTGAGCTCACTGGGTGGGCAGCCACCCACCCGACCCGTCTTGAAACACAGACCAAGGAGTCTAACATGTGCGCGAGTCAGGGGCTCGCCCCAAAGCCGCCGTGGCGCAATGAAGTAATACTACATTTAAAAAAAAAAACTTTGATTTTGAAAATCAGTTTTTGCAGGTCAAGGATGTGGCAAAAGTGGCGAGGCCTGTCCCAGGCCTTGGGTTCAATCCTAGGACTGCAAGCCACACCCCACCCCTTCAGAGCAGTGCATGTGCAGACATTTGCGAGTCACTTCGAACTGAAGAGGGATGATAGCAACAAAAAGGGGGTGTCCATACCTCCTTGCACCCAGCCTCTCTAGTCAAGGGAAATTGTCTTCAGCCTATTTGCTGTTTCTTCTGGCACTCGCCAAATCCCCCAATTCCAAATAATGCTATAAAAATTTTTAGTTATTATCAGCTAGTTTCTTATTATCTCAACATAACAAACTGAGCCATCATCCCCTGCCCCTGCTACTACTTCTACTTTCCTTCGTTAATATTGTGCTTTGGTGTGAGATCTACATTTGGCGCTGCGATATTATAAAAGGGGAATGGTCTTCTCTTAATGTTATAGAGTACTGTGAATACCATTATTTTCTTTTCCCTGAAGTTAGTAACTGCCTTTTATTTATATTGCATTGCTACCCTAGCTAATTCTTCCTAGAACTTCAAATAGTCTCTCAGTAAAATTTTTACAAGATTGGCTTGGCTTTCTAAGAGAATAGGGCATTTCCAGTTTCCACCCCCAGCCCCTGCCCCTCAGACAATTTCTCAGAGACTTCTGCTCCCCTCCTCAGGTGGGCTATTTTCTCTCCAGTAGCTGCACAACTAGCACTATTGTTTTACTTGAAGAGCTCTGCATTTTTCTTGGTCTGAATCTCCCCTCCCCCACCTCTCATCTCCTTGTTTTCTTTCCCTTATAGCTGAGCACAGTGTCAGGTGTGTGATAAGGCTGAGGAGGCTGCCCAGAGGCTGCAGACAAGCATTGTCCCTCTGACCACACCTGCTTTTCTGTACACTGAGCCTTGCCCCTGTTTGGACAGTGTTTCCTCTAGACCAGTTTCTCGCCATGGCTGATTCTGCCCTGGGTGTGGGCAGGGGGCTGCAGTGGTTTCAGTCGCAAATTGGGGTCACTTTCTGTTTGATTAAGGGAGGAAGCTTTCCAGGGAGGGAGTGGAATGATTTTTTTTTTCCTGTAAACAGAACATTAGGCCAAGTAGATTAGGGGTGGACAGTGGAGAAAGTGCTGGACCCATTGTACAGAAGGCAGGGCACTTGCCTTGCAAGCAGCCAACTTGGGTTCAATTCTCAGCATCACATGCCAGGAATGTTCCCTGAGCACAGAATCAGGAGTTAGCCCTGAGCACTGCAGGGTGTGACCCTGAAAATAAGAAACAAACACAAACACAAAAATAGACCATTATGAATTAGAAAGTCATTAGAAATTTAAAAAGTTCTCATGGTGACCCAAACAAGGAGGAAAGTTTGAGAATCTGTTCTCTAGACCAGCTTTTATCCCAGCAGCCTCTCTTCAGTACTTGGTATTCATCTCACTCAGACTCTTCTCCCGTTTTTTTTTTTTTTCCAATTTCTTGTTTATTCTCCTTGGTTTGTTTCTGTGGGTGGAAAGCATTCTGTGGCTTCTTGAGAACGGGTCACTTGGGGAGATCTTGGGCTCTCTAAATTTTTAAAAATGTTACCTTCAGGATTTTTTTTTTTTCATTTTCATCATCCTGTTATTCGTGGATTGCCTCGAGCAGGCCCCAGTAACGTCTCCTTCATCCTGGCCCTGAGATTATATTCAAGGCTCTTTAGGAGAATGAGACCCATCATTGTTATTTGTATTTGGCATATTGGGTACGCCACAGGGAGTTTGCCAGACTCTGCCATGTGGGCAGGCTACATTCGGTAGCCTGCCAGTTTGTCCAAAGTAGGAATGAGATAATAAGGATTAGCTTCAGGATTAGCTGATGATTTTTCTAGATTTAGAATACCATATTGGAAACACTTTACACCCCACCCCCCGAAATTTTAAGGTATTACTGCATTATCTTCTTTTTTCTAAGTATGTTGAAAACCCTCTTAACATTCTGATTCTTGATTTCTTTAGTTTTTTTTCTTAACGTTTTGGAT